ATAATAATAATAATAATAATAATAATAATAATAATAATAATAATAATAATAATTTAAATATGTAAAAGAAGAAAAAGGAGTGAAAATAGTAGTTACCTTGCCACTCTTTTCCAATTCAGCAAACCTGTTCCTAAGTTCTTCATTACGTTTTCGTTCGGCTTCTTCACGATTTTTACGCTCAAGTTCAGCCTTAGCTTTTGCTTCTGATGCAACTTTTTCTCTTCTTTCTTGTTCTGCAGCTTCTTGTTTTTTTCTTTCAGCTTCTTCGAGAGCTCTCCTTTGGGCAGCCTCTCTGGCAACTTGTTCAGCCACTTTTCTTTGGGCTACTGCATCACGTTCACCTTTTTCACGTGCTAGCCTTTCAGCATCTTCTGCAGCACGTCTTTCAGATTCAAGAGCTTCATCATTTCCTGGTTCAGGTTTAGGTGAAATGGGTGACACAGGAACTTGGGATTGAACTGGACTTCCAGCCGGTGGTGTACTGGGAAGTGTTTGACTACGCTTTGGACCAGGAGGAGAATTTGGTCTCTCAGATGGTTCACCTAGTTTCAATCTGTTACGAACATTAGCTTCCGTAAGATCATTTGGGGTAGAAGCATTGATTTGAATTTGATGTGCCTGCTTGACAATAAAGAAAGCGTTCACGCCAATTTAGGATTCAAAGCAATATTATTAGAACAAACATAACCAATATAAGCAACATACCTTGAACAATGCACCAACGGCTCTGCCGTGGACTAAAGCGCGGGCTATTATTCAGGCAAAAAATCATTACCAATTAATATATGTAAAAAGAAATAAATATTTTTAATTAATTCGAATTAATTACCTCTTCGTACACCGCTATAATGAAGGGCAAGAAAATAAGAAATAAAATAAGAAATAAAATAAATAAAATAAAATAAATAGGTTTTTTTTTTTTTTTTCAATGTACTTATTAACTAAATATACCTTACTGCTTCACTAACATAAGTCAGCAGGACAAATCGATTTTCAATTCTAAGGAATCCATAAAGCACTTCTTCTCTGAGATTATTACGGAGTTCATCGAGACCTCCAGTACCTTTAGAATAAAGGGAGATTTTGTCTCTTGTGTCATGATAACCAAGAATGAGCCTAAATGATTATAAAAAAATATATGTTAAGAATCTTTCATGTGGAAATCTATTCTGACAATAGTTTAACAAGAGAGTGATAAGAGTCTGGTTAGACACTGATAAAATACATATATATTTAATAAATTCGAGACTGTTTCCATTTGAAAAAGATTTATAATCGTTTATACAATAAAACTTGACCTTTCAATACCTTATAACAGTCGGTAGTGAGTTTTCGCTTTGTCATCTGCTGCTCAATCAATCAATAAAGCAAAAAGCAGACAGCAAAGCCTTGAACTACCTCAGAATTCACGAATATATAATAGAAAAAAGATAAAACCCATACCAGTTAGTATCTTGACCACTAATGATCTCCTCATATGCTTCTTGAATTGCTGGATCTGTTAAATCGCAAGACATTATTTATGTATTTCTCGGATAAATGTTATTTTGACACTAAAAATTCACACCAAAAGTAAGTGTAAAGAGGGTGTGATATGGAAGTGCTAGTTTGTATTAAAGCCAAAAAAAGAGCCAATTTTTTTAAAGGAATGGAAGGATTATCTGACGAAGAAAAAAGGATGCGATATTTGGACTTTGGCACTGAAATACCAAAAAGGTGAAGAACTGATATTTGCAGGTAAACAGGTCAAATAATTGGGTCTACAATTCACATATCATACGTTACAATAGTCAAAAAATTCTATCATGTACTTTGATTTATTCCACAAAAAATCCATGAATTTTTACACAGATTGAAAATTTTAATTAGTACGTACTCAGTACATATTTGGAATTCTTTGCTGCGGTAATTTTCTGCATTGCAATTTAATAACGCATTTATTATTAAATTATACAATTGATAATTGATACGTAAGACAATGCATTAGAAGATCGGCAAACAATCAATTTGTGTAGGTACGTATGTACGTACGTACGTACTAACGTTAACAGTTAACTGTGTACGTATAATTTAATTTATCACATATTAGGACGTCCAGTTACTATTGACATTACTTATTGCCATTTTTAATCCTATATCTTGACAAATTAGAAGGATTATTTCTTGTATACTTTCAAGATGAATAGCTCAATGCCTAAACGATTTTTTTCACATGTAAAGTGGGATTAACAGAATTTGCCTTTTTTGATACATTTATATGTATAGCCGTTTTATATTATCAAAGAATTGAATTAACCTCGTTCTGTTAGTTAAAAAAAAAAAATCATGGAATAGCTTTTTTGTTGTTGGTTGTTAGTTGATGATTTGTCATATAATCTAAAAGTGAAATTTAACTAATAAAATTGCATTTGTACGTAACAATAAAGTTTTTTTAGTTAATTGTCCATGTAGCGAATGCCTTATTTCTATGTAGTAAAATGATACATATCAAAAAAAATTATAGTTTTGATAAAAACGTAGTTTTTAATTTCTTTAATTTCTTTGCTTGTCACCATTGTACAGTACATGTAATACAACAAATCTATCGCTATTATATATAAATATAATGAATGATAGTTTTACAAATTACTGAATTAATACAGTACAGTGTTTACGTATACGTACGTATTTGAATTTTTTTGCCTTGAAATACGTAAAGCTATATATAGTAGATTTTTAAATAATAATTGACGCGGCTAAAGTTGAAAATTTTTTAAAATTTTTGGGTTGCATTTTTAATAGGTAAGGATATTATGATGGTCTTGATTAGGGATGTTAGGATCAAGTTTAGTATAAGGGACCCCACTATTAAATTTGATTATTAATCAATTGAATTTAGAGTAGGGTCCCTTATATTAAACTTGATCCAGTTCTTAGGTTGAGACCTTGGAAGCTAGTTTTAAAACCTAGTTCCAATTTTGGAAACAAAGTTCATAGGCTTATATATAGATTTATAATCTGGTTTATATAATTAGGAATAATTAAATTTTTAGATTTAGATATTATCAATTTAAGTTAATACAGGATTCTGAAGAAGAGTTAGTTCTGTACCTTTCGTTGCAGTAAAAAAGGGTTGCAAGGAATAAAAATTATTTATAAGTGGGCTTTTTTCAATGCGGTTCTATGACATCCTTCTTAAGTTTCGTACCGTTCTATTCCCTATTCTTCAAAGGTATAGTCTCCTTATTTCTGAGGTTTTGGCACTATAATTGTTGTCATGTAAAAAGCTTTATTTTTTTTAAGGCCCTAAGTTGGTTGAATTCTTGATATTGATGATCGATTACAGCAAGGGTCAATCTATTTTTTTAAGGCCCTAAGTCAGTTGGATTCTTAGTTCGATTAATAACAATTAATTTTTGTGATCTCTTTTTCTTAGGCTCGGTAATTTTATTCTTACGGCTATGTAAAGCGGCTTTTTATTAGATATCTAAAAAAATCCATTCAGATAATAAATATAGTCAAGAAAAAGTTTTGCACAACTTGACGGGTCTGCCTATGAAAACCAATTTATTGTTTGTAGTATGGCCTAAATATTTGAAAAAGTTATCGCAAATAGAATACGAAAGCTATTTTTAAAATAACAGTCCTGTATACATTGAAAGGGTGCATCTAGTTTACGTAATGTTCAATAACGATCGACCAATCAAAATTTGCATTTATTTTTAACTTTCTACAGTAATTAAAAATGTTAAAAATTTTTTTATTTTAATTCTACGGATGTGTAGAATTAAAATAAAAGAAAAAATTTTACCGAATTTTGTCGAGAAAACTTCGCACAAAGTTCAGAAAAAATTTGATCCCGCTTAATAAAATAATTGCGAAGGTTTCTCAATCACCTAATCAAGTTCGATGATTTTAATTCAATCGATGTGTAAAATCAAAATAAACCAAATTTATCAAATTTGGTCGAATAGTTGTCGAGAAAACTTCTCTCAAAGTTTAAAAAAATTTTAATTAATTTTTTGATGTGCAGTTGTCGAGAAAACTTCTCTCAAAGTTCTAAAAAGTTTAACGTTAAACATAGTTAATTCATTGATAAACGAGATAGATTTTTTCTAAACTTTGAGCGAAATTTTCTTGACAATCACAACTGACCAAATTCGATAAATCTTTTTTTTCTTTATACCTCCATAGAAAAAAATAAAAAAAATTCTTTTATTAGATGATCTTCGCTCAAAGTTTCAAGAAGTTTAAACGGTTATTTTATTGATAGGCGGGATCGGATTTTTTCTAAACTTTGAGAAGTTTCTTAACCAAATTTGATGAATTTTTTTTTATTCGATTCTATACATCCGTAGAATTAAATAAAAAAATTTTTTTATAGGTAGTTGTCAAAAAATTGTCTACATGTAAACCTACTTGTGACCGATTTTGATTGGTCGAACATGCATAGATCGTTATTGAACATTGAACATTACATAAGCTGTTGGTAAATAGATGCACCCGCTAAAACTGTAAACCCAACAAATATCCACACGTGAAATGGATCAAAAATGTCTTCTGGAAATTCGTTAAACACCTTTGTTACGTGAGTACTGGAGTACGTACGTACAGTACGTACGCACGCACGCACTCACGCATTAGGATGACGCAAGAGGTGACGTAAGTAATACAAGAATTGATATATAAGGTGAAAAATACTACCGCTACTCCTTCATATGAGTATTTGCTAAATCATGGTAAGGCCTTTTGGATATCAATTACGCGTTTGATTTCCTTCTTGTGTTGATAATGACTTTTCTTATTTTCAGCTAGTGCGTGTTCGTTCAAAGCAAGGTACCGTTCGTTTCGAAGTTGATCCAAATGACGATATTTCGGCGCTTGGTACAAAGGTAAAAGTTTTATATTCTGATTATTAGTTATTTTAATAGACGACATTAACATTGAATAACCTTAAATATTGCTACAACGTGGTAGATTGCCGAGCATTTAAAACTCTCTGATTATTCCTCGATTGGTATATCTGATAAGCCTACAGCTTCCACTCCTATAAAGGATCTAGTGGGAAAAAGTATCAGTCAACTTGGAATTGGGTGACTATTTATAGAAATTATTATACGATTAAATTTATTCATAAATTAAAGTTATTTATATTAAGTCTATTTACAATTTTATTTTTAAAGACATGGTGAACTTGTTTTTGTTACATATCAAGAAGCCGTTGCATCCAATTCGTCGCAAACTAATAACGTAGGAACTAAAGCGTCAATGCCATCCGATATAAAGCAAGATCCTATTGACGATTTTCTAGAAAAACAAGATGGATTAATAAAACGTGGAAGAGATTCGAAATTGTACAATACTTAATTATTATTTAGCGCGTCAAAGTGAATATATAATATACTAAATATAACATTATTATTATCGTATTTTCTAGTTGCAAACATGCGGCGAACGGAATGTGTGATTATTGCATGCCTTTGGAGGTAACGTGGATAATACTTCATTATTTGTATCATTTGTATCATTTGTATCAATTTTTAAATATTTTAATATAATTATAATGAATGATCAAAAATTCAATCAATCTATCACTAGCCTTATGATATAAATTATCTAACAGAAAATAAAATTAAGCATATGTCCTTTCATGCTTATTTACGTAAAATTAACAAACAAAACAAGCATAATGCAAAGTTTATTCCTCCGTTAGAAGAACCGGATCTTCGTGTAAAAACAAACTGTTCAGGTACTCATGCACCATGGCCTGAAGGCATTTGTACAAAATGTCAACCTAGTGCAATTACTTTACAACTACAAGTAAACAACTCTATATTTTTGCTTTAATTAAATTAACTTTATATGTCAGGCACTACATTCATTACATTCATTTAATTTCATTATTTTTAGCAATATCGTATGGTTGATCACGTAGAGTTTTCAGTGCCAAGTTTAATTGATAATTTCATTCATTTTTGGCGGTCAACCGGTACTCAGCGGTTTGGATATTTGTATGGACGATATGAACATTATCCTGACGTTCCATTAGGTGTAAAGGCTGTAGTCGAAGCTATTTATGAACCACCTCAGGAAGATGAGGTCGATGGGCTGACACTTGTTCTTCCATGGAATGAGGAAAAACTAGTAGATGAGGTTGCTATGAATTGTGGATTACAAAAAGTAATTAATTGCAACATTTGTACACTTATTAACTTTATAATTTTTAAAGCATATTAAATTATTATATTTACGCGTAAATAGGTTGGAATGATTTATACTGATCTCACTGATGATGGCTCAGGTTTAGGCAAGGTAATTTGCAAAAGACACATTGACTCGTATTTTCTCTCATCTCAAGAGTGCTGCTTTTCAGCAGCTATGCAGAATAAGCATCCAACAGCTTCAAAATGGAGTGCATCAGGAAAGTTTAACAGCAGATTTGTCACTTGCGTTGTGACAGGCAACAGTAATGGTGACATTGACGTTTCTGCATATCAAGTATCAAATATTTGTACATCTATGGTAGCTGAAGATATTATTGAAGCTAGTGTTGATCCAAGTGTTGTTCGAGTTAAAGAGAGTACACCGGATAAATATGTTCCAGAAGTATTTTATAAATATAAGAATAATTACGGCGTCAATGTTCAAAAGAGTGCAAAACCTTGCTTCCCAGTAGAATATTTGTTAGTTAATGTATGATTTGACTATTTATTTTTAATGATTTAGAAAAATGTTTCATATTGATATAAAATATTCCTACCAATATTTTAGGTAACACATGGTTTCCCATCCAATCCGTCTCCACTCTTTACTTCTCCGATAAGTTTTCCGATTGAAAATCGCCCTGGAATCGATTCACAAGATCTAAAAGGCTTATATCGCCATCTTGGACTTGAAGCAAGTGGCAATGTACATGTCGATTATGTGTCAGATTTCCATTTGCTAACTTTTGTGAAGGGAACTAGTATATTGGATCAGGTGTTCCATATTATATTTTTACGATTTCATCCTCGTTTATTTGTTTCATTATTAACTTGTTATTTATTTATTTATTTCAGAATGATTTTGCAGCACTCGCAAGACTTGCGGTATCACATGAAGAAAAAGATGCCAATCAATTAGCACAAAGTACAGGTTGGCAAACGCTGGTGACTATTATGAATCTAAGTTAAATTGCACATAATCTTGAAAAATAAAGTTTTTACTAGGTTAATGCACAGCATTATGTTTTTAAGTTAACAAAGCTACACTATTACTATATCTGATTGTGCGATCTGTTAGTACGTATTATTGAATAATTTATTGGTCTTACATACATATATGCGGATAATGTCCTGTGTTACACTTTTTAAAATTTTCGGTTTTCTGGTCGACATTAAACGACTACGCCCAGCAAAAATTGGGTTAAATGTCACGGTACTATTGAAGCATAATGCTCGACATTTGAAGAGCTCATATTGTCACTAGTGTTGTTAGTCGAAATAATTTAGACATTTAGGCATTTAGGCAAATTGAATTTAGGCAATTTTGACATTGTTATTTTTTTAAAAATTACTATTAAAAAATATTAAAAAATTAATTTAGACATTTAGACAATTTAATTTAGACAAATTTTGACATTGGCAAAAATAATTTCGACTAACAACATTAATTGTCACGCAGCATCGCTATTTGATGAATGGATTATGACTTCATTGAGTCATCTTCATTAATGCTTACCCAGCGTACCAATTTTTGGGACAATATGGGGTCTTTGCCTTGAAGATGACCTTACGGTATCATGTACCGTAAGGTCATTTTCAAGGCAAAGACCCCATATACGAGTTGCGCTTAGATACAGTCAGACCCCTCTAAATGCTACTCGTTGAACCAAACTTTTGATAACATGCAATTAGAGAATAATAAGAAAAATTACATTTATGGGGGTCAAATATATTTGGGCCAGAACTTGAGATTGCATTTTGAGAGGTATTGCATTTGGGGGGGTTGCATTTAAGGAGGTCTGACTGTACGTAGTCAAAACATAATTCCAAATGAAATTACTATTTTAACAAGTTAACACTTTTTATTAATACCAAATTACTGTTCCTCGCGGATCGGCGATACTGATCCTGATAAAGTAAGAAAAAAAATTATCTTCGACTGTTCTTATAAAGGAAACCTAGGCCCGATTTCTTTTCACACCGGCATACTTCCCTATCAGGATCAGTGTATCAGGAACGGTATAAACGTTTATAAAAAACCATCTATAAGAAACATTAATCCTACTGTTAAATTAAAATTATATAATATAGATTCACAATCAAAATACGATTGAAACTTTAATATGATATGCTGTAGAATCTTAATTGTGACGCTTTATAATGGACCTTAAATATAATCTTAGTCATATATACAGTTTGAATTTTCTTTTAATAAAAAAACAGTACTACATTTTTTAATGTTGGTTTTTATTGGAAATTACGATGCACATGTTTCTTTCTTCAAGATCCTGAATGTCTTTAAAATGCTCGAACTGTAAAATACTATATCTACTTGATTAAGTGCACATATTGATCAAGACACGTATTCAGATACCGTAAATACTAAGATGGGAGCTTCGAAATATGAAATACTGAAATAAGAAAGAATAAAACTTTTAATCAACTTTAAACATAAGAAATGTGACTAGTTATTATATATAAACCACGTCATGGATAGCTCGGTTGAGGTCGTTCCACTTAAATAACTCGGTTCTATAGTAATCGATTAAAGTAAGCCGCGAACCGAACAACCTCAAAATTTCGGTCGGAATGCAGCGTTAACTAACAGACTGTGATGCGTTGCTTAACAAACCCTAACACTTTTTATTAATAAAATTAGTGTTAAACAAAGAGGTGTAATAAATAGCTATTTATCAGCTATTTATCACATCCCTGCTATTTTAACATTATTAATTTTATTAATAAAAAGTGTTAAACCATGTAGGGTTTGTTAAGTTAACACTTTCAAAACTTCCTGATGTTATTTAAACCCAAGAGTATAACGATAAATTATAATGCTTCAGTTTTGTCTTTAGGTTGGTGAATTGGGTTAAATATTCTATTTAATTTATTTTATAACTTGCTCCAGCCTGGTTTGGGGTTCAAACTAGAGAAGTTAGTATAGAGTTATTGCCTATCTAATTTCATTACTACTAAAATCCAAAGAAGTCAGCACAGTGTTCTTGCAAAATTGATGATTTTCTCCAAGACACTTCTGCTATATAGAGTGGTTAGCTAATGCTCTTCTCCTTTTGGTTCAATTTTATTCGTTTCAAGAACCAAAAAAAATCAATGTGAAGGTCTTGCAGAGTACAATCACTAATGCTTTTTTTGCTTCAAAACTAATCTAATTAGCATTATGGTTAGAATGGTATTCTTGAAAGTGTTTTCATTAATATCTTTTTGTCTTCTGATTATTGCCAACATGTAGAAAAGTCAGCACATAGTGTCTTGTTAATACTTTTTCTTCCCATGGTTCAATTCAATCATCATCAAAATTTGTAAGGTATTTTTACAGAGTATATTAGCCAACATTTTCCTTTTTCTAATTCAATTTTATTTTAAAAAAATCAATGTAGAGTTCTTGCATAATGTAATTGCAAAGCTTTTCTATTTCAAAACCACTTTACTTAGCATTAAGATAATCATTATAATAACTGCTATTAAACTTTTGGGTTCATCACCAAGATTTAAAGAAGGCAGTGTAGTGTTTTTTCTCTTTCTGGTTTAGTTTAATTTCTTTCAAGGCTTCAAGAAATCAACCTGAAGTTTTTGTAGAATGCAACTACTATTATTTTAATCCAAGATATTATTACTAGGATCTAAAGGAATCATAGTAGTACTTTTGCAATATGAATCCGCTAATGTTTTTTTTTCTTAGATTTAAGTTTGTTTCAACTATAAACTAGCTTTTTTTTAGCAAGAGTACGATATTATTAAATCCTACAATAAAGTATTTAAAGTTAAAATATTAGCATTTAAAATACAAACATTATTTAAAAATTTACAAGTTTTTAAGTTTTACATATCTTTTTAAGAAGAGTTGATTCTGAAATATTTATTTCTCTATCAATGCACCTGTAGAATTTTTTTTACTCTTGGCTATACAGATTCAGATAATTCTTAATAGAGTTATTAAAGTAAGATATTTTATATTTACAATCAGGTTGGATAAGACTACTATATTTTTGGCTTTATTTAGAGGTATAGTTTTTAGAATTCTAAATATTATTGTTTTTGTTTTATATATTCGAACATTCTATATAACTTCACATCTTATAATTATAAGCATCAAATATATCATATACATATAAATAGTATTTTAAAAATTGATCTGCATTATTTGATACAAAATTATAATATAAAGTCATTTTAGAAAAGTCAAAATTAATAAAGATAAGAGCAAGGTCTCACCTTAAATATTAAAAAAAAAGTCAAAATAAAGAAATATATAATAGGAACAATATTACAATATTACGCATATGTAAATAATTAAATTATTCATTTGCCTACTCGCATTTCTTCCAAGTATCCCAGTCAACTATTAATACTCTATTTGCAATCAAATTTTTTTGAACTTGCACTTGTTGAGAATAAAAATCTTTTGGTACTGCTTCTTCATCTATCTGCATGGTTTCACTACTTTCGTAATCTTGAATATTTAAAGCAGACTCTTTAGATAAGTTGGTTTTTTGTATAGATTTTCAAAGATCCTTTTAAAGTATATTATCGATTACAATAAGAGCAAAGGTATTTATTAATTAATTTATTGATAGTTGGGCAATACCAATTGAAAAGAAAATACTTTATATTTACATCTGGAGAAGTTAACTTTTCTTCCATTAATACGAAAAGAAATAAACTACCAAAGTAAGTTGTATTATTGGATATGCCTATACTTGCTGCACAAATACTATGAAGCTTCTGTTAGAGCAAAAGTAGTGGTAAGAAAAAATAATTTGGAAGGACCTGTTTGATTTCACTACAAAAAGGTTTATAGCAGCTTGGATTATTACACTTTATAACTTGAGTTATATAATGACAAGTCATTACATATTTTTCTATTCAAGCTGCTGATTTTCCATTTGGACAGTAGGATTCTTCAAAATGTTTTATATATTTAACAAGTACCAGATAACTATTGATAATTGTATTCTCCCACATTGATATCAAAACATCTCTGGCCACTTTGAAATTGTGTTTTTCTAATTTCTCATCAAAAATATTATATAGGAGGATTATATTAGCTAAGTCATAGCTTAAGGCTGCTATTTATCTTTTTACTGAATTGGATGCATTCTGGTATAGTGCATAGCATGCCACAATGATAGTATCAAGATCATACTTAATAAAGTAATCTACTATTATCTGAATTGTTTTTCTATAGCATAAATTCTCATCAGGTCTACTATCACTTATTATTACTACTACAGGTTTAGCTAGCTATCTGTTATAGTAAAGTTGTATACAGAGAACCCTCCCTAAGTGCATCCTCTCTAAGTGCACACCCTTTCTAAATGCACGCTTAAATTTGGACCCAAATATATAGATGATCTCCCTAAATGCACTTTTTCTTATTGTTCTCTAAATGCATATCATTAAAGTTTAGTCCCAAGAGCATATATTTAGAGAGGGTTCTCTGTAATTTTTCCTCAACCATTAGATCATCAAAGTCTTTGACATAAGAGTAAGCAGTATTACTATCATGTTTGTTACTACGAATTCTTATAAATGTTGGACCTAAATATATTACTGCTTTAGCTTGTCTATATTTATCTTCTTGTATGTCTAATACTGCATAAACTAAAAAGATCAGTTTATGCTTTTTAGCAACAACTCAACTATGATCTGGCAGTTCTACTTGGTATTCCAACTTCATAAGAATCAGTGCTATATGAATTAATTAATTATTATTAATAAGTTTTATTTTTTATTTATTATTTTAAATAGTAATTCTAAATTATAATAATCTTGTTTGTTGGCCATAGCTAACCAAGAGGTATTTATACTTTATCATCTTAAGATATTACTAAAGCACTTTTGGGACCCAATAATGACACCATTTCTTTTATATTTCTTATTAAAGCAGCGCAGAAATGGATATCATTGTAGCTTCTCTTGCTAAATTTTAAGACTTTAGAAGCTTCACTAGCACCATCTTAACATATCATTTTCCTTCTTCACTACTATACTATCTTGGAATTAGCTTAAAATATATCACAGAGTGTAACAGTTTATAGTTCATATTTGTTAATACTGTAATAGAATTTTCTTTTTTATTCTTTTTTATAGTTATTATTATTATATTTTATTAGTTTATACTAGTTAGCTATTATTCTTTATTATTATTATTTTGAATATTTGATATTTTTTCTTATATTTTATTATAGTTATTTTTAGTTAGTCATAGAACAACACATTCAAAGAGGCTTCTAAACATCAAAGTGTTATAATTAGCCTTGTAGATCATCATATGAGCTACACAATAATATGTGTTTTATTTTTAGTTAATATGTAAGTTATTGAGTAATGTATTGCCAAGTATTGCTAAAAATAATTTAACTCAGCATTCTACTCGGCATTGCTTAGCAGGCTTTATTGGTGTTTCAAGCAATTCTACTTGGAATTTCCAAATTGCCAAGGCCTTATATGCATTTTGAATAGTTCAAAATATTGCTGTAACACATGGTAGTTCTAAAACCAATAAAATATTAGGCTAAAAAGTTATAAAAAGGATAGCTTTTTGCCCTTCTAAAAAGCAGTTCTCTTACTACTTTAATTTCTTTTAATAAAATCATACTTATCTATTCTTATCTTAATATTATTATTAAAATTATTTCTTTTTCTTGTTTGTTTTATGTTTTTATCTTTCTTTTAATAAATTTCTTTTCTTTTTTGAAATAATATAAAGTGAAAGCTGGTTTCAAAAATAGTATTTTGGCAAAATACTAGCTTATATTATTTGGAATTTAAAAGCCACACATAGTCATTGACAGTCTAATTGTTAGTACTTCTTCTTTTGGTTATATCTTAGGATATTTTTAAGTTTTAGTGGCTAACATATTCTTGTAAAAAGCAAGTAATTACTGAGCCTAACCCATACAAACTGACCAATAGATTTAATCTCTCAAATCTCATCGCCTATTGATAACTTCTTATAGTACTTTAAAGGTTATTGAATTTAAATTCTATTATACAAATTGTTTATTTTCTTTCTTTCTTATTATTCTCTTTAAATAAAAGGTAGTCTACTCGACACTCGTAACTTTAAAGTTTGCTAAAGCTTGATAGTTTTTAGTAAATTTTATCACAATACTTCTTGAAGCTAGTTTAAAGTCTTGACAAACTGTATTAATTCTGAACACCATCTTTTATCAACTTGTCTATCTGAAGAAACAATTTAAACAATAGCTTCCAATAAACCTGTCCGTGCTTTCTCTAAACTTGGATAACCAACTGTTGGCCTAACAAGCTGCGTATTGAAACCTGCTTCTTTAAGCTACTTTTCTATCTGCTGAAGCTTCTACCTTTTCTAAGATCTATACTTCTGTTAAGACCGTTGATGGTATTCTAATTTATTCAAAGCTTTTAATGATAATATAAGTTTACTTTGAATACTTGTTTTTTTTTCTTTATCAATATCAGAAAACATTTCTCTATTTTCTAATACTTCAAAATGCTATAACTCCCAATTTAATTGAGAAATTATGTCTTTGAGCTTAGACAAAGCTGGTGCCTCTCAGATTTTAACCATTTCTACTTGTTGTTAATTCTTATTTTTTTTTAGTGAGTTGTTTTTAGATTATTCTAAAATCAAGATATACAAATACAAATAAACCATTTAGTAATTCGTAATTCAAACAAAAATAAGCAAGAATTTGTTCAAAAATTGGAAATTTACTATGAAATTAGAAACAAGAATACTTTGTTCTTGGAATATGCTGGAGCATCAAAAAATAATTATAGCAATTATATTAATGTTTTGAAGCTTGCAGTAAAAGGTTCATTATGGCAAAATCTTATGTATCACAATTAGAATGGAAGATAAATTAAATTTCTTACTAGTATAGTATCAGACATCAAGTTAATTTAATTTGCAGAAACTTGTTTATAGAGTTTTATATAGCAAAAATATTTTACAAGATTCAAATTTTATTAGATAATTTTGAAAGTAAAATTTTTAATTTTATATTATTTTAGAGCATATATATTTAAATAACATGGTTTAATGTTAAATTTTTTTTTTAAACACAACTAACATATTCAAGAAATTAAATTCTTGTCGATATGAATATGGAAAATATAGATATGCTTTAAGAATTTTATTAATGTGTATTATTTTATAATACTAATATATAATACGAATTTGTCTTACTTTTTTTTTTTGAATTAGCACCTCAGTTCGAATATGGTTATGCGAATTCTTGTTGATATGAATAAAGAAGTATAAATATGGTTGAAATACTAGTATTCTAAGCAAGCTTATTATTAAGCTAACAATGTTAAATTTTTTTTTAAATATGACTAGCATATTCAAGAGATTTTTGTTAATACGATTAAAAAAATATAGATACACTTTAAAAATTTTATTAATATGTATTATTTTTTTTATTTATTTTTTTTGTAAATTGCTTATATACTATAAATCTTTATTAATTAAGATCTTAGAACTTATTACAATTATATATTTATAGTGAATGAGTTGTACTACACTAATTACTTAATAACACCCACCCAAGCAATTTAGTCATACTTTGCTATTTTTAAAATCTAACTAATGGTTATTACCCCATCAATTAACTTCTTAGCTGGCATACAACCTACCTATTTCTATACAAAATATTTTATATTGTTTTTGGTACCTTGTCTTCCTATTTGCTTCTTGTAGCAACTTTCTTTTTTTCTCAGTTTGGTTCATTTTGGCAGTTTTTTACTCTTGTTGCTTCCAAATTGGTGTACATAGCCTTATATTTGATTTAGTACCACACTGATTTGGAATATGTTTTTTTTTTTTTTTTTTTGTTATTAAGGAGACCTCTTTGGCCTGGGAAACGTTTTATTAGAATATAAACGAAGTTTTATAATGTAGTTACAATAATGGTACATCAAGCTACACGTGCACCTTTTAAGTGCCTAATTTAAGTAGTCCGCCCGAAAGTTCTACACTATTTGCCGTATCTGCACCCCAACTAGGGGGGTATCCATTTAAACCATCTAGTTCCAACTACCTCAATCATAACTCTAACCTATAGGTATTACTCACTATATAGTTGTGGATTTTGCATCTATCCATAGGAATTAGCACCATACCTTAGGACTTACTAACTTAAGCTAATCTATCCTTGAGGTAAACCTAACAGAGCGGTACATGTCTCACACATGTATTTACCTGCATGTTCTGCAACAGCTTCCTAATTAGTACATATTGACCTGCTGTTCTATATTCGTATCACACACCACCTTTTGGGGTACTGCTATTCTACAGACATTTCTCAAGCACCAACCTTTCTAATTAGGCACCCATTACATACTCCTTGCCTTTATTCGGTTCACAACAACCTCAGTACCCACATTCAAACTGTCTTCTTACCCGGATTCTTTATCAGTCTCTCCCTTACTTCTAGCCGGCAACCCGAATGGGTTGGTCTGCCCAGGCTTTAGGTGTCTGAAGGACACCCTCCCCTTGGTCCATACTTTTGAAGCATATGTCCTTTTCCTTTGATGTGTCAGCCCGGTGGTTCGGCTAGTATGTCCCCCCACTTAAAGACCTGATCACTTAGTTTTCTGATCTCAGGCCCCAGTTCGAATTCAGCCCTTCTGTGATATCGTCAAAGATCACTGCT